GAGGAGAGAAAGTGAGAAAGCAAGCCACCATGTCTGGGACTCGAACCGTGGTCAGCCATGTGGGAGTTCAGCGCCCTTAACCACCAGGCCACCTGCTGTCCCCCTCTGGCAAAATTTTTTTTAAAAATGGACAAATATCTTCAATTTTTTTTTGAGAGGTTTTTGCTATAGGGCGTGTGCGCTCGCCAGACAGACAGACATAGAGACAGAAAGCAAGAAATCACCCCCCAGAGGGGATGGTCACACCGCAATCCCTTCTCCATTCTCCTCTCGGGATCTTGGGCACGCACGCACACGCGCCCGGCGTGAGTTTTAAGCCACCGGGTCTGGGACGCGAACCGTGGTCGACTACGTGGGAGTCCAGTGACATAGCCATTATGCTAACTGCTGGTTCCCTTCAATTATTTTTTTTCCTCCCTTGGTCATCCTATTTTTCTCAATATACACACTTGTGATTATTAAGCATTGTAATTTGATTTTATGTTCTGAAATTGTTTTTCCGTTTATTGATAATGGGCATTTGTTTTTATTTTGCCACATACTATCCCATACCTGTATGTCATGGTTTTTATTTATTCATGATTCAGAACATTAACAGTGTCATATTGGATCAGATTAATATTTTATTATCCAGCCCTAGCATCTCTTTATGACAGGACATCTAGATGTGTTTAGTGGGAAAATCTGGGTCCAGGACTTGAACCACATAGTTGGTTATATGGGATCCAGCACCTTAACTACCATGCCACCTGCTGGCCCCTCCATGCAGTTTTCATACTTTTATTTTTACAAATATATTTTTAAAAGTTTATTTCATGCATGAATGAGAGAAACAGAGACAGATATAGCACCTCCAACAGGGTCTTGATGCTGCCATCCATCCCAACTCCAGCCAACCCCAGATCATGAGCATACCTAATCATGAGCATACCTAATGTACTCAGGAAGGTCTCTATTTGGGTCAGCCTCTCAAAGCATCACATTTTACTTCTGCCCCACTGTTGAGCTCCTACATTTATTTAAACGAAGCATAAAAATAATGCTAGTATGCCCAGTTGTGGTGACTGGAGCAATAGGGCACTGCTGAGTGAGTCTGGGACCACTTGGGATGCACGGGTTTGGATCCTGGACCAACCTGAACAGGTTGGGTATGGTGACACATGTTTGTGATCCTTGCTGACTGGGAGGCTGGGTCAGAGGATCTCAAAGGAAAGATCCTGTTAAAAATTCTCTCTCTCTGGACCAGCAGATGGTGTAATGGTTACTTCACTGGACTGCCACATAGTTGACCGTGGTTCAAGTCCCAGACCTGGTGACTTAAAATTCATGTTGGGTGCATTTGTGTGCATGCCCAGGATTCCAAGAGAAGAATGGAGGAGATGGGATTGGCAGTGTGGCCATCCCCCCTGGGTGGAGGATGTGATTTCTTGCTTTATGTCTCTCCAGCAAGCACATGTACCCTATAACAAAAATCGCTCAACAAAACAAAATTCTCTCTCTCTTCTTCCCCACCATTCCTCATGAGGAAAAGAAAATTAGTATGGAAATTGGCTTGCTAAAGTAGCTCCATGTAACATTACAAGGAGGAAGAGTTTTGTTACTTTTATGGTTTCTGGGGGCCAGCAGGTGGTGTGGTGGTTAAAGGCGGTTAAAGGTGGTTAAAGGTGGTTAAAGTTGTATTCCCACATGGCTGACTGTGATTCAAGTCCCAGATCTGATGGCTTGCTTTCTCCCTCTCTCTCTCTCTGTCTTTCTTTGATTGAATTAAAAAATAATAATTAAGTAATTATTAAACTATTAAAATAATAACAAATGGAAATAAATAATTTTTTAAAATGTTATGGTTTCACACACTCATTCTGTAATTCATTGAGTTCATACTATGCCTGGTATTTTGCCAAGGGTATTATGCTGTATTTCTTAAAACAAAATGGAATTAGTGTGTAAGATACTGTTCTTTATTAATTTATCTTGAGTCCTGTGATGCTGAAGTAGCCCTATGATTTGTTTTTATTGTTTGAAAGAAAGAATGAAAGCAGTATCTTTCTTTTTCTCTATAGTATTTGGGAAAGCAATTCAAGCTCTATCACGAATTAGTGATGATCTGTGGCTAGATCCATCTGAAAAAGGTGTAAGTAAGAAAATTAATAGACTATATTTTAAGGAATGAATGATATTTAAAGATCACTGTTCAGAGCCAACCCTGGTGGTTAAGCTGAATCCCACATAACCAACTGTCTAGTTTGAGTCCTGGACTTGATGGCCACAATCCCCTCTCCTCCATTCTCCTCTTGGGATTTTGGGCATGCCCGCACATGCATCCAGTTGCCGTGTCCAAGACTCAAACTGTAGTCAACCATGTGGGAGTCCAGCAACCCAACCACCATGCCACCTGCTGGTCCCTCTTATGTGAACATGTTTAACTGTAATGCTAAACATAATGAGTTCAACCGTCATTTAAAGAAAGTTGATTTCCACCTTAATAGCTCTTATTTTTCCAGCTTGCCTTGAGATCTGTGAATTCTTGTCGGTCAGCATATGGATGTGTCCTGTTCTCGCCTGTATTTTTTGAACAGTATCAATGGTCAACCTCATCAAAAATAGATGATAATGACACAATTGTGAATTTAAATTGCAAAATGGGAATGAAGGTAAATCGTGGCCCTTGTTTTCTCTTGTACCATAGAAATGTTCATTATGCAGGATGTAACATATATTCTATATGTAATAGTTTAAGTTGCATGTGGGACAAGTTTATGAATGTAAGAACACACTTTTTTAAAAGAAAACAAATCAAATAACCAATTAAGTATATACTTTATATAATGTGTTTATGTTACAGTCAATTCTGCTCATCTTTAGATGTCTGACTTCCCTCGAAAGAAATGTAGAGAAGTGCAAAATATTCACCAGATCTGATAAGGAAAAAGTAGTTATTCAGTTCTTCTGCAGGCATGGTAGGTATAATTAAAAGTAGTTTGCATTGGGGCTGGCAGGTGCTGTGGTGGTTAAGGTGCTGGATTCCCACACGGCTGATTCCTACATGGTGGTTCAAGTCCCAGACTTGGAGGCTTGTTTTCTCACTTTCTCTCTCTCTGTCTGATCAAATTAAAATAATAATAATAATAATAATAATAAATAAAATCTAATAAATAATATTTTTAAAGTGGTTTACATTACTAAGCATCTCTTTAACTGAGTTTAATTTGTCTAATAAAAAGATTTTCTTAATGAAAGAAGTAAATTCTGGGGAAAAGTCTTTATTTCATTATAGCTCAGTACTTTGTGTAGCACTAGACAAAGTTAAGTGACCTAGACAGAAAGTAGGACTTTAATTTTTTTTTTTTTTTAGGCTTGGTACCATAGTGCAGTGATTAAGTACTGGGCAGAGGGAGCCAGACCTCAAATAGCTAACCACAGTTCGAAGCCCAAGTCCAGAGGCAACAGATTATGCATATGTGCTCAGGATCCCGGTTGGATGAAGAAATGGAGGGAAATGTTTTCATGTGACCAGTCCCCATTGGAGGGTGCTTTCTCTTTGTCTCCGGCATGCACATGCACATTCAAACCTTAAATATTGGGGGGGGGCAGCAGATGGCATAATGGTGACATCGCTGGACTCCTCGCTGGACTCCCATGTAGTTGACTGCAGTTCAAGTCCCAGACACAGTAGCTTAAAAGAGGGAAAGTGAGAAAGGAAGCCACCAGGTTTAGGACTTGAACCATTGTTGGCCATGTGTAAGTCCAGCGCCTTAACCACCACATCATCTGCTGGCCCCATGTTTTTAAATTTTTATTTTTTATCTTGAAATTATGATGCCGGGTATGTGTGCATGTGTGTCCATAATCTCAAGAGGAGACTGGAGGAGAAGAGATTGTGGCATGGCCATCCCACTAGGGGGTGATTTCTCGCTTTTCATCTGTCTATCTCTCTTTGTCTTTCTGGCAAGGACATGTGCCATATAGCAAAAATCTCTCTTAAATTTTTTTTAAAGTGTGCGTGATTCATTATTATTTAAAGGTTTATTCACTTATTCCATGAGTGAGAGAGACAAAGAGACAGCACTCCCGACAGGGTGATGATGGCTTGATTCATCCGTTTCAAGCAGCCTGGATCATGGGCACACACATATGCCTGGTGTACTCAGGGAAGTCTCCGGATGTGGACTGGCAGTCTCATGTGGGTAAGCCTCGCAGTGCATCATGTTTTACCCCTGTGCCACTGTCCACTTCCAGGACTTTTAAATTTTCATTTGTGTTCTATCAAGGAAAATTATTAAACTGGAACAACTAGAAAAATCTTAGTGCAGAGGTACATCAACCCAAGTTGCTTGAAAAAGGTACAATGAATGTTCTTTGGGCAAAAGATTCAAGGCAGGGAAAGCTGAAGAGGAAAGGCTTTCTGGACAGTGGTGTCACACATGGGTGAGTGTCCAACAGACAGAAATGGGAAGGCATTCTAAGATGAAAGAGCAGTGTGACCAAAGGTACAGGGTGATAGTTTTTAATGTGTGCTGATGAGAAAAAGTAGAAGAAAGTAAGTAGCAAGTAATGGAGTACCAGAGATCGCAAAGAAAGAGGACATTTCTCAGCATGTACATCCTCAGCAACACTAACATTTACTTGATTCAAATGTTTGTGTATAGATAGGAATATGCTTATATCTGCATAGATGATATTTATTTAATTTTGTTTATCATTATTAGGGTTTTTTTTAAACATGTTTTTGCTGTAGCCATGTACACTTGCCAGAGAGACAGAGATAGAAAGAAAAAAAGTGAGAAATCACTCCCAAGGGAGGACGGCCACGCTCCAATCCCTTCTCTTCTAGTCTCCTTTTGGGATTTTGGGCCGCATATATATATGCTCCCAGTGTGAGTTTTAAGTCGGCAGTTTTGGGACTCGAACTACAGTCGACTAAGTGGGAATCAAGTAACATAACCATTACACAATTATTATTAGTTTTCAATTTGCTACATGGCACATGCGCTTACCAGAGAGAGACAGAGAGAAAGAGGGAAGTAAAAAAGTAAGCCACCAGCTCTAGGACTTGAAACATGGTTGGCCATGTGGGAGTCCAGTGCCTTAACCACTGCACCTCCTGCTGTCCCCAGGTCGTTTCTGTTTTTAAATTTTCTTTTTAAAGAATTATTTTAACTTTACTTATTTATTATTATTATTTTTCAATTTCACAAGAGAGAAAGAGAAAAAGGGAGAAAGGAAGCCACCAGGTCCAGGGCTTGAACCATGGTTGTCCATGTGGGAGTCTAGCACCTTTAACTACCATGCCACCTGCTGACCCCGTGTTTTTATTTATTTATTTGTTTGTTTGTTTATTTATTTATTTTTGGAGAGGTTTTTGCTATAGGGTGTGTGCACTTGCCAGAAAGACAGAGAGAGACAGAAAGCAAGAAATCGCCCCCCAGGGGATTTCCACTCCACAATCCCTTCCCTTCCATTCTTCTCTTGGGATCCTGGGCACACATGCACATGCACCTGGCATGAGTTTAAGCCACCAGGTCTGGGACTCAAACCGCAGTTGGCTACACAAGTCCAGCAACATAGCCATTACGCCAACTACTGGTCCCGACCCCATGCTTTTAAATTTTTATCTTTTTTCCTTGAAATTATTATTCCTTATTTACAAATAATCATTGTACATCATTGCAGGGTGCAGTATGGTTCTTCTTTTTTCTTTTTGTATTTTGCCTAAGGGTAGGAGAGAGACAGAGAGAGAAAGTAAGGAAGTACCACCCCTATGGGGCACGGGAAAATCTCTTTTTAGTCTATTTTTTGATATCTTTCTCTTTCTATACCATGCACATCTAGTCCCTATCCCTCCAAAAGTAACTTGAAAATATTTTTTAAAGTAGATATGTCAGCTTTTGAGCTTGTGTGTTTCCAAAACAGCAACCACAGTGATCCTTTTAAAGCAAGTCAGATTATTGCACTCCCATGCTCAAAACTTTCAAAGAGCTCACATTTTACCCAGGGAAAAAGCCAAGGATGTTAGAATGACCTGACCTGACCTAACCTAACCTAACCAAGGTACCCCATGATTCCCAAGCTCCTGCATGCTTTTGCCGCTGGCTCCCTTCCCTGTTGTTTAACTCATTAATTTTCTGTTATCTCTCTCCCCTTGCTAGAATGTGAACTCTAGGAGAACAGAGGTTTTTGTCTGATTTGTTCTCTGTTACTTCCAGCTCCTATAATAGTCCCTGGGTGAGGGACCAGCAGTTGGCATAATGGCCATGTTGCTGGACTCCCATGTAGTTGACCGCGGTTTGAGTCCCAGATCTGGTGGCTTAAACTCACGCCGGGTGCGTGTGCGTGCGTGCCCAAGATCTCAGGAGGAGAATGGAGGAGAAGGGATTGCAGCATGGCCATACCCCCTGGGGGGTGATTTCTCGCTTTCTCTCTCTCTGTCTGGTGAGTGCAAGCGCCCTATAGTAAAAAACCTTTCAAAGAAAAAAGTCCCTGGGTGGTAGATTACAAGAAAAAAAAGCATAAACTATTAGTAGCTACCTTCGAAAGCTGGAGTCTGTTTCTCTACTTTGAATCTCAGCTCATCTTAGACTTCCATTGATACCAGCAGAATACACTGGAAGTGATATCTATGAGTTCCAAGCTTAGGCCTCAAGAAGCCTGTCAGCTTCCACTGTTCCCAGAGAACCTTTCTAGCAGCACAAGAACAACCATGTCATAACCTCCTGGAGGGCTGTAGACCATGTGCTGTGAGGCCTTAGCCATCCCCCAGTTGTTCTGGCTGGAGTCTACACGAGAGAGTGAAGCCATCTAGAAGATCCAGCCACAGCTAAGCCCAGCTTAGTCCAGAGGAAGCACTCTGCAAACTTATGAGAACTAACAAAAGTTTATTATTTTAAGTCACTAAGCATTGGAATGATTTTTTTATGCAGTAAAAGCTAACTAATATACTATAGTCATATTACAGTAGTGCTCAGTAAATGGTAAATATTTATTAAATTAATAAATGCTGTTACTAATTCAGAAAAAAAACAAAAAACAAACAAAAAAAAAACCTTACATAGAGAGACATGTTTCCAGTGAGCCTTTTGGATTCTCACTGCAACATTCTTATGCTGTAGAAAGTTACAGCCCAACTGGATTTTTTTTTTTTTGGAGAGGTTTTCACTATAGGGTGCGTGCGCTCGCCAGACAGAGAGAGACAGAGAGACAGAAAGCGAGAAATCACCCCTCCAGGGGGGATAGTCACGCCGCAATCCCTTCTCCTCCATTCTCCTCTTGGGATCTTGGGCACGTACGCACCCACGCCCGGCTTGAGTTCCAAGCCACCGGGTCCAGGAAGCGAACCACGGTCGACCACGTAGGAATCCAGCGACATAGCCATTATGCTAACTGCTGGTTCCCCCCAACTGGATTTTATTAGATGGATTCTTTCTATAAACTTAGATTAAAATTCTATTTTTTTTTTTTTAACAGTGTAGGCTCAAGAAATCATTACGCTCACTGAGCTATGGTTTCCTCTTTTAAGATTAAGTCCCTATTCCTTAGGACTATTGTGAGGATCGGAGAGAATATATGTAAAATGTACTCTACAGCTCTTGGCTTATAGGGACCAAACCTATTATAGCTCTCCTTCTCTTCCTTTATGGAGAAAAAAACTCATAGATCAGATGTCAAGGTCTAATTGCCAAAAGCTTTATGTAGAAATATTAGCCCTGGATGAAAGGTTCTAAAAAAGAATCATAAAGATACAGTCTGTGGTAGACAATCACTATTTTATGCATGACTTAAGAAACAACAGGTTGCCTATCCCATTTTAGATATTTACATATTTTGGGATTCTCATGTATACATAATGAGATATTTGGGGAATGGGATACAGATCTAATCATGAGGTTTACTTATGTTTTCCATATTTATAGTGTTGTCAGAAAAGTCATGACGTATTTTTGCATAGAAACCCAATACATTTTACACATAGCTTGAAGTTATTTTTATATGATATTTTTTGTATTACTGCATTTTTTTTAGAGGTTTTTTTTTTTTTTTTTGCTATAGGGCATGTGCACTTGCCAGAAAGACAGAGGGAGACAGAGAGACAGAAAGCGAGGACTCACCCCCCCAGGGGGGATGGCCACGCCGCGATTCCTTCTCCTCCATTATTCTCTCAGGATCTTGGGCATGCACGCACACACGCCCGGCGTGAGTTTAAGCCACTGGGTCTAGGACTCAAACCGCGGTCGACTACATGGGAGTCCAACGACATAGCCATTAGGCCAACTGCTGGCCTGACATTTTGACTGTGACCTGTTACAGGAGATCAGGTGTAAAATTCTCCACCTATAGTATCATGTCAGTACTCAAAAAGTTTGGGATTTTGGAGCATTTTGCATTTCGGATTTTCAGATTAAGAACGCTCAATTTACATCTCTATGTGGGTACTCTACGGCCTGATTAATTTGAGGGTGTGACATGTCACATTGTGTCCACTAGGGAGCGATAAACACATTTCATTAAGGAATAGTGCTGCTCCAAGCTATATGCACATGCCAGAGAGTAAATGTGACTTTGGTTTATTATTTGAATTGGGTTGTGAACCCTAAAGACTTTTAAAATGTGTTCATTTTGCACTTAAACGTGCTAAGAACTTGCTTTATCCTTTTTAAGGTATTAAAAGAACTCATAATATATATTTTCAAGAAAGCCGGCCTTTGCAAGTTATTTTTGAAAAGAATATGTGTACTAATACCCTAATGATTCAACCAAGGTAACGAGTTCTCTGTTTTTTTTTTTTTTTTTTTTTTTCTGAATATAGCATGGCTGTAGTGTGAAGAACGATGTCCTCGAACTTTTCAGTTATGTTTTTTTTTAAGCTAAAAGTTGTCAGAGAAATCCCTGTACAGAGTCAAGAGGAAATCTTGAGAAAGATAGGAGATAATAACTGCCTAACGGTGGCAATAATAATTTAATGGCCAAGGGGCCGGCAGGTGGCATGGTAGTTAAAGGGGCTGGACTCCCACATAGCTGACAATGGTTTGCCACCTGCCAGCCCCTGTTTGAGAAAATTTTAATATTTTTGGTGTGAATTAATTTTTTAAAGAATATTTAATTTAATTTATTATTTTATTATTTTTTAATTTGCTATACAGCACATGTGCTCAACAGATGGAGACAGAAAGAGAAAGGGAAAGTTAGAAAGCAAGCCACCAGGCCCTGGGGTGATTTTTATCCTTAATGTTACAGGTTATTTTTTTCTCTAGATAACGAGTGAGGTGTATTTGTCAGAAAACATGCACTGAAATGTTAAGTTCAGCTGTAGCATTAAACATTAATTAGCGGGGACCAGCAGGTGGCATGGTGGTTAAGGTGCTGGATACTCCCACATAACCAACCACAGTTCGAGTCCTGGACCTGATGGCTTGCTTTCGCACTTTCCCTCTATCTCTCTCTCTCTCTCTCCCTTTATGTCTCACTCTGATCAAATTTAAAAAGTGATCATAAATGAACTCACGCTTGGCGTGAGTTCAAGCCACTGGGTTCGGGACTCAAACTGTGGTTGGCTACATGGGAGTCCAGCGACATAGCCATTATGCCAACTGCTGGTCCCTGAACAGCTCTATTTTCTACTGTCTCCCTTTGAAGTATGATCTCAGACCAACTTTTTTTTTTTTAATGTGCATACAAAAACAGAATTAAAGCTATTTTATTCCAGTGTTTTGTTTATGCTGCAGCTTTTACATGTTTTACTAGGGTTATATTTTGCACTTTTCTTGGCCTTCAAATGAAGTTAATTTAAACATTTTAAAACGTAGTAAAAAAATAGCAGTTTACTCATATAAGTACAAGCGTAAGACTTTTGGATAAATTCTTCTTTTTAAAATGTTCGAAATCTTTTTTAAAATTTAATTTATTCATTTATTTACTTTAATTTGATCAGAGAGAGACACAGAAAGAGAGAGAGGGAGAGAGAGAAAGCAAACCGCTAGGTCCAGGACTCAAACCATGGTCGACCATGTGGGAGTGCCCAATGCCTTAATCATCATGCCACCTGCTGGTCCCCTTGGATACATTCTTCTAAACTCAGGACAAATAACCTATTTATGTTCAGATTAAAGATTTGAGTCCCAGTTAATAAAGTTATATCTTTTTGTTTGATTTTCAAATAATGTGAATTCTTTTCATTACATTTTATAGATTGCTTGCTGAAGCAATTGTTCTTTTCTCAAGTCAAGAGGAAGTTACTCTTGCTGTTACTCCACTGAACTTTTGCCTCAAGAGTTCTAATGAGGAATCTAGAGGTAAGAATTATATTGTCATGGTATTTGGATGGATTATCACTTCCTGGCTTTCTTCATTATTAATTGTACAGTAAATATTAGTGGCATCCTTATTCCTGTCTAAAAAGTAGTAAGGTGTAGAATGGTCATTACTTTTTTTTCTATTTTTTTTTTTTCTTTATGACTATAAAGCTCATGTACTCACTGCAGAGAAACAGAGAAAGAGAGGGAAGTTTAGAAGTCACCCCCTGAGGGTGATTGCTATACTGCAGTCCCTTCCCCTCTCCTCCATTCTTCACTCAGGATACACACACACATGCCTGGCATAGTTTTCAAGCCTCTGGATCCTGGACTCAATTGTGCCCTCGCCATGTGGGACCTAGCTGCCTTAACCTCCATGCTATCTGCAACCCCAGGTCATAAAATTTGTTTAAAGAACTGAAGATGTTGGAGACCAACAGGTGGCATAGTGGTTAAAGCGTTGACTCCCACATGGCGGCTGCAGTTGGAGTCCTGGACCTGACAGCCTGAAAAGCACACTGGGTGCATGTGCATGCATGTCCAAAATCCCAAGAGGAGAATGGAGAAGGGATTGCAGCTTGGTCATCCCTCCTGGAAGGTGATTTCTCACTTTTCCTCTGTCTCTTTTTCTCTCTTTGGCGAGTACATGTGCCCTATCCCCCCAAAAAACAAACAAACAAACAAACAAAAAACCACCTATAAACAAACCGAGGATGTCTAACAAAATAAGTAAAACATTCGGCTTTGAAATTCAGGTTGTTTTAAAATTAGTATGGGCCAGCCCTAGTGATTAAGAGAACTGGATAGCTCTCTGGCTCTCTTTCTCTCTGGCAACTAAAAAAAATATGAATAAATAAGTAAGTAAATAAAATTAGTAGAATGGTTACTGAGGGAAACATATTTTTAGTTAAGATATTTAAAAATAATTATTTATTTGGGACCAGCAGTTGGAATAATGACTACGTTGCTGGACTCCCTTGTAGTCAACTGTGGTTCAAGTTCCAGACCCGGTGGCTTGAACTCACACCAGGCACATGTGCATGCGTGTCCAAGATCCCGAGAGAAGAATGGAAGAGAAGGGATTGTGATGTAGTCATCCCCTCTGGGGGGTGATTTCACGCTTTTTGTCTCCCCTTCTGGTGAGCACATGTGCCCTATAGCAAAAGCCTATCAAAAAATTATTTATATATTGTTATTATTTTTTAATTTGCTATAGGGCATGTGCACTTGCCAGAGAGAGTGAGAGGGAGGGAAAGTAAGACAGCAAACCACCAGATCTGGGACTGGAACTGTGGTCAGACATGTGGGAGTCCAGCATCCCAACCACCACATCACCCACTGGCACCTTTAGCTAAGATTTTTATTTTTTTAGAATTATTTTATTTGATTTTATTAATCATTATTACTATTATTTTAATTTGACCAGAGAGAGACAGAGACAGAGAGAAAGGGAAAGTGAGAAAGCAAGATGCCAGGTCCAGGACTTGAACCATGGTTGGCCATGTGGGAGTCCAGGGCACTTAACCACCATGCCACCTTCTGGCTCTTTTAGTTAAGTTTTTTTTTTTTTTTTTTTTTGAGAGGTTTATGCTATAGAGCACGTGCACTTGCCAGAGAGACAGAACCCTCCCAGTGGGATGGCCACACCGCAATCCCTTCTCCTCCATTCTCCTCTCGGGATCTTGGGCATGCACGCACATGAGCCCCGTGTGAGTTTAAGCCACCGAGTTCGGGACTTGAACCACGGTTGACTATATCGGAATCCAGCAACATAGCCATTATGCCAACTGCTGGTCCCTAGTTAAGATTTTTGTGTTTGGCATAGAGAAAAATTAAGAGGTCAGTAATCTGACTGAGATGATTTTTTTAAAGAGAGATTTTTGCTATAGGGTGCGTTCACTAGCTGGAGAGACAGAGAGAGACAGAAAGTGAGGAATTAACCCTGGGGGGATGGCCATGCTGCAGTCCTTTCTCCTCCACTCTCCTCTTGGAATTTTGGGCACACACACAAACACACACATGCCCATTGTGAGTTTCAGGACTCCAGGTTCTGGACTCAAACCCCAGTCGGCCATGTGGGGGTCCAGCAACGTAACCATTATGCCAGCTGCGGGTCCTGAGACCATCTTTCTTCTGTTTTTTGTTTTTATTTTTGCAATAAGGCATGAGCACTTGCCTGGGAGAGGTGGAGAGAGAAGGAGAAAGAGAGAAATTGAGAAATGGTCCCCTGGGGTATGGCTTTGTCACAGTCCCTTCTCATCTGTTCTCCTCTCAAGATTGTGGGTCCCCACGCATATATGCTCAGCGTCTTTTCATCTTTTATAGAAAGATTTTTTGCTTTACATTTGTGCAGTCTCTGGAGATACACACACACACAGAGAAAGTTAGAAATCGCCCCCAAGAGGTTATGGTCACACCGCAATATCTTCTCTATTCTCTCAGAATCTTGGGGACATGCTCACACATGTGTGGCTTGAGTTTTTTTTTTTTTTTTTTAAAGAACTATTTATTTATTTATTTCCATTTGTTCTTGTTATTTTTTTTCTTATTTGACGAGAAAGAGAGAGAGAGAGAGAGAAAGGGAAAGTGAGAAAGCAAGCCACCAGGTCCAAGACTTGAACCATGGTTGGCCATGTGGGAATCCACCACACAACCTGCTGGCCCCGTGGCTTGAGTTTTAAGCCACCAGATCTGGGACTCGAATCACAGTCGACTACATGGGAGTCTAGTGACATAATGACATAACTGTTACGCCATCTGCTGGTCCCTTGTTTTTTTAAAAGCTGCTCAGTCTGGCCTTGACTGGACTCCCATACAGTCAACTACAGTTCCATCCTGGACCCGGTGGCTTAAATTCACGCTGGGCTTGTGTGCGCGTGCATGCCCAAGATCCCAAGAGGAGAATGGAGGAGAAGGGATTGCAGCATGGCCATTCCCCTGGGGGGTGGGTGATTTCTTGTTTTCTGTCTCAGTCTTTCTGGCTAGCACATGTGCCCTATAGCAAAAACCTCTCCAAAAAAAAAAAAAAAGATACTGAAACACTGAATGATATTTAAATATCAAAGATATGAATGAAGAAGAAACCAAAGAATAGATGTGAATCAAAATTGTATATTTATACTTTTCTCATTAAAATTTTTATTAACATCAGATTAATTTAGATAAAAACTCTGATACTTAACATAAACAGTTTGATTTCTGTGAAGTGGAATTGAAGCAGGCCCTACACTGAAGGTTCCAATTTGTCCACGTCCACAACAATGCTTGTTATTGTCTGTCTTTTGGATTTTAGCCATCCTTGTGTGTGTGAAGTAGTGTCTCATTGTGGGTTTGATTTGCATTTCCCTGATGACAAGTGATGTTCAGCATACTTTCCGGTACTTCTTGGTTATTTGCATATCTTCCTCAAAGAAATGTCTGTTTAAATCCTTTGCCCATTTTCACCTGAGTTATTTTATCTTTTGATTGTTCTGTATACTACCCTTTTATCAGAGATATGATTTTGAAATATTTTCTCTTATCCTGTGGGTTATCTTTTTACTTTCTTGTTGGTATCCTTTGAAATATAATTAATTTTCTTTTCTTTTTCTTTCTTTTCCTTTTTTTTTTTTTTATTTTGGAGAGGTTTTTTGCTATAGGGTTCGTGCGTTTGCCAGAAAGACAGAGAGACAGAGAGACAGAAAGGGAGAAATCACCGCCCCCCCCAAGGGGGATGGCCATACCGCAATCTCTTCCCCTCCATTCTCCTCTTGGGATCTTGGGCACGCACATACCTGGCGTGAGTTTAAGCCACCGGGTCTGGGACTCGAACCACGGTCGACTACGTGGGAGTCCAGCAACATAGCCATTACGGTAATTGCTGGTCCTGCAATATAATTAATTTTTTAATTGCTAGAGTACATGTATTTACCAGAGAAAAAGAGAAACAGAAAGGGAGAAAACATCCTTCAATGGGGCACAGTCATGCCGCAATCCCTTCTCCTTGATCCCTCCACCCTATTGGGATTTTAAGCATGCATGCACATGTACCTGGTGTGTTTTTCAAGCTGCTGGGGCCAAGACTTGAACCACAGTTGGTCATGTGAACTCTGTCTCCCTTAACCACTAGGCTACAAGAACAGCCTTAGTTTTTAATTTTGTTAGAGTTCAACTTAATCTGTTTTTATTTTGTTGCAAGTGCTTTTGGTATGCTATTAATTTTTTAAATCACAAAGGATTATATAATAAAGGGTTTAATACTAGTATCTTTGATTATCTTGGAATGTATGTGTAAAGTTCAAAGCATGAAGGTTTGCTGTGAAAATAGTTGCCAAGAAAAATCAAGTCTGCTAATCTCTTCTTTTTTTTAGAATTATTTACTTAATTTTATTTATCATCATTTTTTAAAAAAATTTTGCCATCGGGCATGCACACTCACCAGAGAGAGACAAAGAGAGGGAAAGTGAGAAAGCAAGCCACCAGGTCCAATACTCAAACTGCAGTTGGCCATGTAGAAGTCCAGCATCCTTACTCATCATGCCATCTGCTGACCCCCTGATAATCTCTTCTTGACTAGAAAACATATATGATATGAAGTTTACCTCTGTTTGAGAAAACATGATATGCAAATATCTACATTAAAAATTTGTAGGGTAATGTTATTTAGAATTATGAGTGACAAAACACAAAATAAAGTAATAATGGTTGGTATAGTTATTTCATGATCATCAAAGCACCAGGCTTTTTCTCTTATTCCTCCGCCAAGTTAAATAAGTGGCTTCTGCCTCACAGTCCACGTGAACATTCACGACAGCATTATTCATAGTAGCCACAAGGTGGAAAGCCACATGTCATCAACTCAAGAATGGATTAACAAAAGGTGGTCTTTCCACACAACTGAATATTGTTCTTCCATAACAAGGAATGAAGCTCTGATACATGCTGCAGCAGGGATGAAGCTTGGAAGCCTAATGCTGAGTGAGAGAAGCCAGACACAAAAGGCCACATGATGTCTAGTTCCATTATATGGAATATACAGGATAGATACGGAAATATGCAGAATCCATAGAGAAAGAAAGTAGGTTAGTGGTTACCAGTGACTGGGACGAGGGAAGAATGGGGAGTGACTGGTAATATACAGATGTGAGGTTGCTTCCCTTTTTTTTCTTTTGGGTTTTTGCAATAGGGCACATGCACTTGCCAGAGATAGAAGGGAAAGTGAGAAATCCCATCCCCCCCAGGAGGGATGGCCATGCCACAGTCCCTTCTCCTCCATTCTCCTCTGGCATTTTGGGCATGTGCCTGGCTTAATTTTCAAGCCAGCAGGTCTGAGACTTGAACTGGGGCTGACTATATGGAAACCCAGCACCGTGAGGTTTCTTTTTTTGGGGAGAGGTTTTCAGTATAGGGCGCGTGCACTTGCCAGACAGACAGAGAGAGACATAGAGACAGAAAGCAAGAAATCACCCCCCAGAGGGGATGGTCATGCTGCAATCCCTTCTCCTCCATTCTCCTTTTGGGATCTTGGGCACGCACGCACATGCGCCCGGAGTGAGTTTTAAGCCACCAGGTCCGGGACATGAACCGCGGTCGACTACATGGGAGTCCAGTGACATAGCCATTACGCTAACTGCTGCTTGCCTCTTTTTGAGGTAATGAAAATATTCTAGAGGTAGTAGTTGTACCCCTTTGTGACTATACTAAAAACTACTGAATTGTACATTTGAAATGGTGAATGTTATGATATATAAATTGTATCTCAATAAAAATTTTTAATTTACTTTTTTACCCATTTTTATGATTTAGTATGATACATCTATTTTATTTGCTAATCCCTTTTTGTTAATGTTTTTAAAACGAACTGGGGGGGGACCAGCAGGTGGCGTGGTGGTTAAGGTGCTGGACACTCCCATATGGCCGACCACAGTTCGAGTCCTGGACCTGGTGGCTTGCTTTCTCATTTTCTCTCTCTCCGTCACTCTCTGGTCAAATTAAAATAAATGAATGAATAAATAAAATTAAATAAATCATTAAAAAAAACTGGAATATAATACATGTCATAAAATAACTGTTGTTGTATGTTAGTATGATAACCCTTTTTAGGATAAATTCACTTTATGGTATTCTGGTTATTTCTTGCTGATCACAAGCCACTCCAGAATATACAGTATTAAAACAATATTATTATCGCTCATGGTTCTGTGGATTGATGGGGCTCAGCTGGGTAGTTCTCACTTGGGATCTGTCATTCAGTTGTTGGATAGTGGCTGGGCATGGAATCATCTCAAGAAGTGAAGATGACGCTCTCATAGGGCTTGGGACTGATGCCAAGAGCTCAGCTGGGCTGTGAACCAGAGCTCCCACTCACAAGTGGTCTCTCCATGTTCCTCAGACCTCATATGGCCCGCTGACTGGTTTTCAGAGTGTCGCAGAAGACAGGAAGTAGAGGCTGCCAGTTTCTTACTGCCTGGGCCCAGACATTGGCACAAGGTCACTTGGCCCTAACTTATTGGTCAGAGCAGTCACAGAGCCCACCCAGGTGCAAGGGGGGCGGGGGTTATAGACAGAGACTCTGTGTCTCAGGGAAGGAATGACAAATCACATGCAGCTATTATTTTGTTTGTTTGTTTTAGAGGTTTTAGCCTTAGGGCATGTGCACTTGCTGGGGAGAGAGACAAAGACAGAGACAGTGAGAGGAAAAGTGAGAAATTATTCCCTAGGAGGGATGGCCACAATGCAATCTCTTCTCTTTCATTCTCCTCCTGGGATCTTGGGCACACATGCACACGTGCCCAGTGTGATTTTGAAGCCGTTGAGTCTGGGACTTGAGCAATGGTTGGCTGTGTGGCAATCCAGCCATGTAACTGCTACACCATCTGCTGGCTGGCAATTTGCAGCTATTTTTAACCTACCACTTATGATTGTTAAAATTTAACAAATAACAGAGCCAGCAGGTGGCATGGTAGTTAAGGTGCTGGACTCCCGCATGGCTGATGACTGTTTGTAGTCCCAGACCTGGCAGCGGCAGGCACATGTGTATGCATGCCCCAAATCTCCAGAGGAGAACAGAGAAGGGATTGTGGCATGGCCATCCCCCTTGGATGATGATTTCTTATTTTCCATTTCTCTCTTTCTCTGTCTCTCTAACATGCACACCCTATGGCAACACCCCCCCCAAATTGAACAATTAACTCTAGAACTAATTTTCTTATTTTTCTATAACATGAAATAGATTTGACCAACTCTGTATATAGTGAGATGTTTGTTGTCCCAGATGAATTTGACTTCTTTCAAATCGGAGTGGATACTGAAATAACATTTTGTCTCAAAGAATTGAAGGTAACCAAATATTTCTGTGAAATTAAATTCAAATTTTCACTGGTAGTTTTTAATAAAGGATTAAAAATTTTTTTTCTTTTCTTTCAGGGCATGTTGATATTTTCAGAAGCTACACATGCTCCCATCTCCATTCATTTTGATTTTCCTGGGAAGTAGGTCCTTGGGAATTTCTCTGAGCTTGTTTCTTTTCTTTGGTTATATATCAATAATGAAACCTTTTGGATCACTTTGAAATTAATTTACAACTCAGGCATTTCTTTACTAGCAGTACTTATGAAACTAAAATTTTGAAAGATGCTAAAACGTGGCACTTTTTAATTGGGAAGTTGAGAAAGAGATGTTCTTTTGCAGGGTGAAACATAAATTTAACATGGTGCTGAATAAATTACCTAATTATAAAATTATGCATGGTTTAAACAAGTTAAATCTCTACAAAACTATGTACTTTATATATTTCAGAACCAAAATTTCAGATGAGATTGGATTAAGGTGTGTTTTATGAAATTGGACTGAAGATTTCTAGAGGCCCTTTTGGCTCTTAGGACTGTAAATTTGTGAAAACACAAAAAGTCCCTCTATCTACTGTTTCTTGTTATCCGGAATTAAGTATCATTTTCTAGTGTGTTCCTGATACTCATCAGAAAGTGAGTGTCATTTTTGTTCTGACTTTGTCTTCTTAGACCTTTGGCTTTAAGTATTGATGACATGTTACTGGAAGCTAACTTTATCTTGGCTACCTTAACTGATGATCCAAGTAACACATCTTCACCACAATCACTCTGTCTTTCACAGGCACTAAAAAGGTAAGGCCACGTTTAGCTTCTTTCTTGGATGGGAAAAACCATTGCAATTTTATTCTGAAGTAACTCAGTGGCATTCACTTAGGAAATAACTGGGGAGTGAAAATCCTAGAAGATCAGAAATGTTGACCAAATCTGGAGGTGCTGTAAGAGAAACATCATTGATCTTGCATCAGATATTTGGTTTTTCTCTTTTGATCAGAATGTTACAGGACTGTCTGGTGTATCTTTGTTATCTAAAACCCATTTCCATTTCTAGTTGTTTTTTAAACAGTGATATAGTGTTGGGGCCAGCAGATGGCGGTGCTGGACTCCCACGTGGCTGACTGTGGTTTGAGTCCTGGACCTGGTGGCTTGTTTTCTCACTTTCTCTATCTCTCTGGTCAAATTAAAATAAATAAAGTAAAATAAAATAATTCTTTACACACACAAAAAAAAGAAAGAAAAAACACAAAAGAGTGATATAGTGTTAAATTTCACACGACGGTCTATTTGCTATCTAGACTGCTTTCTCAGATATAGGGACAGTCACTGCTTTTCTTTTTCTTTTTTTTTTTCCTTCATATTTCATTTTCTTTCTTTCTTTTCTCTTTCCATGTTCCTTCCTTCCTTCCTTCCTTCCTTCCTTCCTTCCCTCCCTCCCTCCTTCCCTTCTTTCTTTCTTTTACTTTGGAGAGGTTTTTGCTATAGGGTGCGTGCGCTCACCAGAAAGACAGAAACAGAGAGACAGAAAGTGAGAAATCACCCCCCAGGGGGGATGGCCACGCCACAATCGCTTCTCCACCATTCTCTTCTTGGGATCTTGGGCATGCATGCACACATACCCAGCATGAGATTAAGCCACTGGGTCTGGAACTTAAACCGTGGTTGACTACATGGGAGTCCAGTGACATAGCCATTATGCCAACTGCTGGTCCCATTTATTTTCTTTCTTCATGAGCAAGAGAGAGACAGAAGAGATAGCACTCTCAGCAGGTTCCAGTTTTAATGATTCATTTCCAGCCTCAGCCATTCCTGGATTATGGGGACACACATACCTGGCATATTCAGGGAAGCCTCTGGACTTGAACTGGGACCATTCCACGTGGGATTGCCTCACAGATTGAGACTGACTCCTCTCTCTCTCTCTCTCTCTTTTTTTTTTTTTTGGTAAAAATAAACACAAAATGATTGTGGGAAATTTGGAAAATACAAAAAGTGTAAAGAAATGAGACTCACTTATAATTATACCATCTGGAGACAGGCCATGGTTACATGGAGACATCTTGACTCATTGTATTTTCATTTGGGCTTTTTTATTTTGCATATTCTTATATTTTGAAATAAGATGGGGATCATATAGCCTACATGGTTTTGTGTCCTATTTTTTCCTCATAAAATATATTGTGGGTGGGACCAGCAGATAGCGTAATGGTTATGTTGCTGGACTCCCATGTAGTTGACCGTGGTTCAAGTCTCGGATTCAGCAGCTTGAAACTCATGCTGGGCGCGTGTGTGTATGCACCCAAAATCCTGAGAGGAAAATGGAGGAGAAGAGATTGTAGTATGGCCATCCCCCCAGGGGGGGTGATTTCTCCCTTTCTGTCTCTCTGTCTCTCCAGCAAGTGCATGTAGCCTTTGGCAAAAACTCTCTTCTCTAAAAATAAAAAATTATATATATAAAATTATAGAGGGCATGTTGCAGTATCACTGATTATAATTTGAAAACATGGTTTTAATGATGGGATAAAATTTTATCATACCGATGGATGGAAATTTATTGGACTTTTCCCCTAACTTTGTCCTGTTACCATAATGCAAGATGTCTCATGCACATTGGGTTACTTTACTGAAAGATTTGAATCTGTTAAGAGAATTTAATTTCTAGATGATCATGTACATAAACCTTAACTTTCAACATTTAGTTCTGTTATGTTCCCTAAGATAGTGCTCTATCATTGTCATCCCACATTGCTCTAACAGTTACATAACAACGATATTTCAAAGTCAACAGTTCATTCATTTAATCCCTGTTAATTCCTCAGGTCAGATCTGATAAGGTCAAATTCAAAGGCTGATAAAAATGTGACCAGCCAGGCTTCGGAACACATCTCGAGAAAAGTAGCAGCCAAGAGACATTGTCCTCATGGAACTCCCACAAACACCTCTGCCTTGGAAAACTGTGGCAGCCCTCTCATAAAAAGAGCAGATGGAGATGTCACTGAAGTGCCAGAGAGCAGTGTCAGCGACACAGAGGAGGAACCAGGGTGTCCACATTTCAGGAAGGTAAAAGAAAAAGGTTGAGTCGCATCCACATCTTGGTCAAGAATGCTCATCATTTATGTCCTTTCCCCTGTGACTGGCCGCTTCTGAGATCCTGAAAACTAATTTTCTTGTTTTTGTTTTTTTTTTCGGAGAGGTTTTTGTTATAGAGCACGTGCGCTCGCCAGACAGACAGAGAGAGACATAGAGACAGAAAGTGAGAAATCACCCCCCAGGGGGATGGCCACGCCACAATCCCTTCTCCTCCATTCTCCTCTCAGGATCTTGGGCACACACGCACATGCGCCCGGCGTGAGTTTTAAGCCACTGGGTCCGGGACGTGAACTGCGGTCGACTACGTGGGAGTCCAGCAACACAGCCATTACGCTAACTGCTGGTTCCCATTTTCTTGTTTTTTTGATAGTCTCAGGTAGAGAAGTCTATTTATAGAATATCAATACAAAATAGTTAAATTGCTCAGTTAGTCAGTAATTTCTAGCAAAGCATGTTAGGTAGATATTTCTCAAGAATAAGTCATGATTGTTTATGGTGGTGGGTCTTTCTTTTTGCATAGAAAAACACATCATGACTTTTCTGGCAACCCAATACATTCTACCTTTGAATAAAACTAATATGCTAAAGTCATAAAAACAGTGTTCCTAAAATTATTTTTATCTGATTTTATTTATTTATTGTTTTAATAATTATTTTATTTTTTATTTATTCATTCGTTTATTTTTAAATTTGACCAGAGAGAGACAGAGGGTGAGAGAGAGAGGAAGTGAGAAAGCAAGCCACCAGATTCAGGACTCAAACCCTGGTTGGCCATGTAGGAGTGTCCAGTACCTTAACCACCATGCCACCTGCTGGTCCCTGATTTTATTTTTTAAGTTTAGTTGGGAAATCATTTATTTATAGTAGTACAAATATAAATCTTACCCCAAGAAATATCACAAACTCCTTCATAGTAGAGTCCCAGTTAACATTTTCTTTTCTTAATAGCATTTTACTAGACAGATAATAATAAGCTTCACAGAATGCTATAGTGTTAAATCGTATGAAATCTATTGAACATACACATAATTTATTAGAAATGTAATTATTTCAGGCCAGCAGGTGGCATGGTGGTAAAGGTACTGTATTCCCACATGGCCAACCATAGTTCAAGTCCTGGACCTGGTGGTTTAAAAATCACACAAGCCATATGTGCATACGTGCCTAAAATCCTGAGAGGAGAATGAAGAAGGGATTGCGGTATGCCTATCCTCTCCAGGGGATCTCACTTTTCTTTTCTCTGTCTCTCTTCGGGGAGCAGCAGACAAGCCCTATGGCAAAAACCTAAAAAAAAAATAAAAGAAAAGAAAAGAAACTGAATTAGTTCAAATATTGTTAGTCCCTTTTTTTTTTTTTTAAATTACCAGAGGGCACATGTGCTTGTCAGACAGAAGAAAGCACCCCACCATTGGGGCATGCGATACCTTCTCCATTTCTCCATCCTGTCAGGATTTTGGGCACACATACACACATCCAATGTGTGTTTTTCTTTCTTTCTTTTCTTTTCTTTTTTTTTTTGGAGAGGTTTTTGCTATAGGGCATGTGTGCTCGCCAGAAAGACAGAGAAAGGCAGAGAGACAGAAAGTGAGAAATCACTCGTTAGGGGGGATGGCCACGCTGCAATCCCTTTTCCTCCATTCTCCTCTTGGAATCTTGGGCCTGCACACGCCCGGCGTGAGTTTAAGCCATCAGGTCTGGGACTCAAACCACGGTCGACTACATGGGAGTCCAGTAACATGGCCATTACTCTAACTGTTGTTCCCCTAATGTGTTTTTCAAGCCAATGGGGATGGGATTTGAACCATGGGCACTCATGTGAGATCTCACTCACTTAACTAGAATATTAAGCTGGCCCTGTTAGTCTTAATTTTAAGTGTTTAATGTTTTATTCAAATATATTTTGCTGTTGCTGTTGTTATTAGTTTGAAATGTGAGTTTCTTAGAATGAGAAATTTGAAAGAAAATATATTCTTTAAAAGGTTTTGTTTATTTAGTTTTTATTTTTATTTTATTTATTTATTTTTTTTAAAAGTTAGTTTATTTCTTTCTTTATTGAAATTTTACCAAAGAGGGACAGAGAGAGAGAGACAGAGAAAGTGAGAAATGCAAGCTGCCAGGTCCAGGACTCAAACTGTGGCTGGCCATGTGGTAGCCCAGTGCACTTAACCACCGCACCACCAGATGGCCCCATACTTTTATTTTTATTAAAAAAAATTTTTTTAAAGAGGTTTTTGCCTTAGGGTGCATGCCCTTGCTAGAGAGAGAGAGACAGACAGACACAATGTAAGAGAGTGAGAAATCACATCTGGGAGGAAGATCACACTGCAAAATCCCTTCTGCATTCTCTTCCTGGGATCTTGGACACGTGTGTATATGTGCCCAGCATCATTTTTAAGCCACCGGGTCTGGACTTGAACTGCATTTGGCCATGTAGGAGTCCAGTGATATAACTGCTATGCTATCTGCTGGCCCTTTAATTTTTAGATTTTTTTTTTTTAAGGTTTTTACCATAGGACGTGTATGCTTGCTGGATAGAGGCAGAGAAGGAAAATGAGACATCACTTCTAAAGGGGGATAGCCACACTGTAATCCCTTTTCCTCCATTCTCCCCTTGGGATTTTGGGCACAGAAAAATAACATTTTGAAAGTCACCATTTTATGCTACATAAAAGACTTTTAGGGGCCCAATCATAAGGTGGCATGTACTGCTGAGATATCGTGCCCCAGCAGGTGGGACCACATTGGAGGCCCGGGTTTGATTCCCAGTCCAACCTAAAGACCAAGCTTGGTGGTATACACCTATAATCCTAGTGATTTGGGAAGACTGAGACAGGAGGATTGTGAGCTTGAGGCTGGCCTGGGTGACATAGTGAGACTGCCTGAAAAAATGAGTCAGGTGCGGTGGCATGCAACCGTAGTCCCAGCTAGGAACCTGAGACAGGAGGATTGCAATATGGTGAGACCCTGTCTTAAAACACAAATAAACAAACAAAAAATGACTTTTAAGGAAGCATTTGTATAGTAAACTCAACTTACTCAGTTTGATGCCTTAAGTGTTTATTGAGTACCTGTTGTACCCCCAACACAGAACAATTTCTTTTTAGAGGTTTTTGCTATAGGGCGTGTGCACTCACCAGAAAGAGAGTGACAGAGAGACAGAAAGCTAGAAATCGCCCCCCGGGGGGCCAGCCACACCGCAATCCCTTCTCCTCCATTTTCCTCTTGGGATCTTGGGCATGCACGCACATGCACCTGGCGTGAGTTTAAGCCACCAGGTCCGGGACTCGAACCACAGTCAACTACATGGGAGTCCAGCAACATAGCCATTATGCTAACTGCTGGTCCCCCAACACAGAACAATTTTCTCTCCTTGTCTATAAGGTGAAAACAGAAATCTGTGTTCTCATTACTCAAAGGCATTTTCCCTTCTGGGTTTTTTTTTTTTTTTTTTTTTTTTTGCTTCAGGTACTGTGCTCACTGTGCTCACTTTTTCACAGGCAGCAACAGGAAATCATTTTCCTGCTGCTTCAGGCCTCTGAAGTTCATTAAGATTGCCAGTGTCCTTTCTAGTGACAATGACACTTGGACCTGTAAGCTCCATGAGCACTATTAAGGTACTTTGCTCCCCACTCCCTACCATGGCATCAAATCAAGAAAGATTTTCAAAAATAATTATTTTATATATTATTATTATTTGACCAGCGAGAGAGAGACAGGAAAAGTGAGAAAGAATGCTGCCAGGGTCCAGGACTTGAACTGTGGTTGGCAATGTGTGAGTCCAGTGCCTCAACCACCACATCACCTACTGGCTCCGAAGATTTTTTTTTCAGAGAGATTTTCAATATAGGGTGCAAGCACTGGCTGGAGAGACAGAGAGACAGAAAGTGAGAAATCCCCCCCCGGAGGGGTAGTCATGCCGCAATTCCTTCTCCTTTCGGAATTTTGGGCATACACATACTCACCCAGCGTAAGTTTCAAGCTGCTGAGTCTGGAACTCAAACCATGGTTGGACATGTGAGAGTCCAGCACCTTAACCACTATACTACCTGCTGGGCTCAAGGAAGACTCAATTTTTTCTTCTTTTTTAAAATTTTTAAATGCATTAAAAAAATTAATTTCACAGAGAGATAGAAAGCGAGAAATCACCCCCCAGGGGGATGGCCACACTGCAATCCCTTCTCCTCCATTCTCCTCTCGGGATCTTGGGCACACATGTACATGTGCCCGGCATGAGTTTAAGCCACTGGGTCTAGGACTCAAACCGTGGTCAACTACATGGGAGTCTGGCAACACAGCCATTACGCCAACTGCTGGTCCCAGAAGACTCAATTTTTAAAGGTAATTGCTTACCGTAATTTGGGAAACTCCTGCAAAGCTGAAGTTATGTTATGGGCAAGTGACGTAGACCCTAATCTAGGTTCCACCTGAACTACAGTGGGCCTTCTGCTGGGCCTCCCTCCGTTTTCCTCACCCTAGTTCTCTTCCCTAGTGAACTAATGGATTTTACCCAAACCTTCGATCTATAATGAGGCCCAGGGGTTCAGAGCATTGGCTCGAGAGTTCAAGGTGTGTTTACGATGTTGAGTCATTCTGTTAAAAAGCAGACAGCAGACGTTGCCTTTCTCTTTGTCCAAGTCTACTTTGTTCCTTTTGTGACCTATTGGTTTTGTACATTTATTATTGACTTAATTCCTAAGTAATTATTCATCTCTGTTGCTGTTGTAAGTGAGGTTTTCCTGCCATTAGGTCCTTAGACTGTCTGTTGTTCGGGTCTATGAAAGCTATTGTTTTGGTATGTTAATCTCGTATCCTGTTGCCTTGTTGGACTCTTTTTTTTTTTTTAGGGAGAGGTTTTTGCTATAGGGCACGTGTGCTCTCCAGAAAGACACAGAGAGACAGAGAGACAGAAAGCGAGAAATCACTCTCGGGGGGAATGGCCACACCACAATCTCTTCTTCATTCTCCTTAGG